TAAAACGATCATTCAGTTTTAGTACTGCTTTATAATTTGTATAAAACTACACAGTAGGATACAATATGAAATATTACTAAAATCGCTACAGGTATAAATGTATAAATATCTAAATAAACGTATATTTGTCCAATTATTATGAATTAAGAAGTATATCTATTGTAATAATATTTTCATAACAAATAAAACAATTATGTATATTATCATTTATAACTCATTTTCAATACAAATATCATTGCATGTTATTTTTTAAAAAGAACTATAATGTGGTTTATTCAGTACACAATAATAGTCGTGTTAAAATTGTTTCAAATGTTTTTATATAACATTTCAATTGGTAAAAATAAATTTTTGTTAGATCATATCTATAAATTAGTAAAATTTAAAAATAAATTTAATATACATAAAATTGAAAATATATAATAATATAATTTTATTTTCTTAGTACTAATGTGATTTATTAAGTGATAAATTGATATAGAGATTCTGTATACTAGAGGTAAATTGTCACAAATCACATTTTTTTTTTTCGAAAAACTAATTGACAATATTTTTGAAAAACACATTGAAAAACTATTTCAAAAATAACCTCACCTCATTAAAAAAAAAAAAGGAATAATTTACCTTTAATGTACAGAATTTAATGAGTTTTCCGATTGAAATAAAATCACAGTGTATGTTATACATAGTGATGAAGAAATGTTTTTAACAACATTTTTAGACGTTATTTGATTCTATAAATGTTCCAATACTTGAAAAATTTAAAAGATTTTGTAATTATATCATAAGATACAACAATTTGGTTCAAAACTATCTTGCTGTCATAGTCAAGAATTTTATCAGCTTAGTTGAACATTAATGTCAAAAGCTATGTTGATCTTTGTTAAGAAAAATTGCTAACAAAATCAAGTAGAGATGCATTATCAAAACTTAGTTCTAAAGTTTTTGAAAACAAACATCTTCTAATGTGTACATACCCTATCGACACAGTGTTCTTCATTCTTCAAGAAATCATATATTGATTTATACGGTATGGTATCAATAGGTTTTTTATATTTTGTCACTGTAGTGGAATTGACAGGAGTATAGCTATAAACAAAATTAATATAAATATTAAAATATAAACATTTAAAATATGGCGCCTTGTATCTGTGTTTATGTTACTATTATTTTTTTCAAAAGATTTTCCTTACCTTTTCATTTTTTGTTCTTAAAACTTTTAACACGAAAATAACGTCTTTAAAATATAAGGGTATAACTTTTCGAAATAAACTTGTGTATTAACATAAGTTAATAAGATTAAAGGAATACTGCTTGACCATTTTAGTGCTCTATTCCCATTAACTCAACTGCCGTGTGCATTTGTACCCTATTAATGTAAGTTAATAATTTGAGTTTTTTAAATTTAAAACCAATATTTATTTTAAATTACAATGTTATAATTTTGAATAGTTTTTAATTAATGTTAACGAGCTCGATGCAGATAGCACATAATATTTTGAGACTTCAATAATTCAAGTAGTTCCCTCAATTTCTTCTGTTTGTAATTTTTAATTCTCTTCCAGGTCAGTAAATAATAATATAATTTATTAAACACACACTTAATTGGATGTACTTATCCTTTACTTTCTCGATCGTCACAATAGAAAGATCAATACGATAAAAAAGTCAAAGGTAGTTGAAATAATGCACAACAAAATAAAAAATAATCCCAAGGGTTGTCGTAACCGGTGGCAGACTCAAATTTAAAAATATTTCTTAAAGAAATATCACAATCGTTTACCAACTGGTATGGCTTTTGTTTATTAATATGTATTCGTTTGGTCTAAACCAGAGGTCAAACACAGTGTCACATACAACACATTCTGCGCAGTGGAAACGCTCTGGTCGATTACCTCCTTCGTTACAGGTTTTTGTTTAACAAAACCGTTACACATTTGCAAATGGTTCCTGTGGAATGACCGTTTTTAATGGACTTCCATAATAGTATTACGCAGAGACACGCGTTTGGATGGGCTGACAAAGGTTGTTTGACATTGATGATTAAAATGGGCAGTATTGGTCGAAAGATATTTACACTGGTCAGTTACGGGTATCGATTTACCTGGTTATTGTTTTTAAGCCAACTCGTAATGCGAATTCTTTGACAGTTCTCCATGCCAACAGTAATTACTTGGACGAGAAAATATTGAATTAAAAAAGAAGCAAATAAACAACTCGAAAATACTATAATTACAAGTCGTACACAATGAACGTCAATAAATTATGCTAAACGCTGTGGAAACCCGAATAACATAATGACAATAATAATAATTATTATACCTATTATTTTTTTCATGGAATTTTTTCTTTTGGGAGTTTTGTTATTTATTTATTTTTTGGTTCACAAAATACTCATTCAATTGAACGAATACACAACAATCGAACATCGTTAGTGTCGCGGAGTAGGTAAACTTACACGCGTATATGGATTATACGCTATATTATGAACAGTGACATGACATTCGGTCGATTTCCCCTAAATCTCATAGCCAAAACATCAAAACGTTGACAGTTTACATGACGTGATTCGGCTACTCCGTTACACCCACACGAATATCAATATTTTATTTAACTATTTTTTTATGACCGCGGATTTACCCGCTCGTTAATTATGCGCATTTCTAAACACAAAACGCTACTTGTACACTTAGATTAATAAGTTTTTAAGTACTCGAGCCGTGTCCACACACACACCGACAATTATCGGCGTTGTAGTGGTGTTAATTGATTGTCGGCCGCCCGGCTAGTCCAGAAAGTGACCGAGTTTGTGTGCTTACGATATTAACAAGTGTAATTAAACCGCTCCGATGGGAATTTTCACCAAGAACACAGCTGAGTATGGCGAGTGGAAAATTCGTGTTTACGTTAACCGTGTACATATAAGTGCATTACAATATCATAGTAATTAACGTTTGCGTTTCTGTGGTCTGTCCATACCGCCGTGTAGAAAAATGATCGTGTGGAGGTACCTACACTCTCGGGGAGATGCTATTTTGTTGTTGGAAAGGAATAATCCGAACCGGTTTCTCTCGTCAAACACATGGGCGGCGGCGGCATTCAAATAGTACCTACTTAAATCGTATCACCACCTCACAGTTTAATGTAAAAAAAAAAAAACGATAAAAATTTCAAGCAAATGCCGAAAAGTCTGTGGTCGGGTTAACACAAAGTCGATTAATTGTTACGGTCGGACCATTTGCATAATTCAATTTCGTTCGTCACTCGAACGATCGTCGCAGCACCGCGCAGTTATTAGCCGATTAAAAAACCCAATCTAATACTTAAATATCAACCGTAAGCACTCGATATCAAGTCCGCGTCGACGTACAGTTTTGTATTTTGCATAATAATTACTAGACGAACGACTGCAAGTACGACGAACAAAAAATAGTAAACGTCGTTGTCGTGTACGGCGTTCTCATTGTTAGTAACCTCTCCGCTCACTGTACACACACACACACACACACACGTCGGTCGATACGTGTAACAACCGCACGCTACTTCCTTTCCAATATGATATTATATACGTTATTTTTTTTTTTATTCTAACCAAAGGTGAGCATATGCCTCACAACACGGTCGTCGATTGTCTATCAGGTGCCTGGCCCTAATGCTGCGTGAACCTTATTAACACGTACAACTGTAACGACACTGATTTTATTAAAAAGTACACAAATAGTTAGTCACAGATAATATAGTAGTTATCATAGCAAACGTTATCGCATCGACGCATTTCTTCTAATGAGGAGAATTGCGTTCGGACAGTGACGCAAAACCGATTTACGGCAACGCCATTTCCGTCGTAAACACATTGATGAAGTATTATGCCGAACTTATCCTTGTACAATACATTGGTTACTGACCGTCGGAAAGAGTCAAACTGTGGCGTAAAATATTAATAAAAAAAATTCTAATAAACCGTCGAAAAACTGGTTAAAAACGTGTCGGCTGAAAACTTTCTCGACCACCGCAAACGGTTGTGCAGAATCGAGTTGATAATTTTAAATAAGAAAAACGTAACAATAAAGTGGTACATTTTTTCAGCGCGTGCACGTAGAAGTTATTGCGTTTGGAAACCAATGGGAATCAATGTATAAATACAACAATAGTATCTGTCCGATAATAATTTTATTACCATTGTCTATGTGGTTAGTCGTCGCGGAGTTTATTGTAAAGCACACGCGTGAAGAGCTAAACGTCAAAGCCTAGTCGGTAGCGATAACAATGAATCAAAAGGCCTTTTATTTTCTCAAACCAAAGCCGTGACGCACGTGATTATAGTCAAATATTATTACCGTTGATAAACTTCACGTTTTTATGTTCAATAATACGCGAGCAAATAGATGGAAAACAATGTTTTTTTTTTTATTATTTGTAAAATATATGCACAATCAAAAAACCTATTACCGAAAAAACCATTTACTAAATATTGAGACTCGTAATAGAATTTATACGGAACACATGTTGATTTGTGAACTTTGCGCTAATTGGAAGTGGCAATCGATCGTTTGTTAATTGTGTTTGATAGTCTTTTCTAAACAAATCGATTATTAATCTCAATTACGATCATCAAATTGAACGAAACAAAATTTCATCCTTGACAATACGGTGGCGAGTACGATTGTATTAAACGACTTGAAGTTATTATTGTTATTATAAATCAAGGTAATAATTTAAAATGACTCTGACAATAGTGAAATTTATAAACAAGTATTTTTTTTTTGCTATTAAAACTGTGACGGAGATGGCAACAATATTTTCATAGTATTAATAATAATTGTTGCAGCTGCTTGTAAAACGAGCGGCGGTACGATTAGGCCGTAGGGTGCGCCACCGTACGGTCGGTACGGATACCGTGACGTCACGGATACGACACGGTACACACATAACGGGGTCCCCACCGGCAAGGCGGTGCGGGGGCAAAGAAACAAACGCATAGGACGCGCGCGCCGCTGCCGTACATTCTCCAGTTTGCCTTCTGCCCGTCCGCTGGCCACAAGTGTTCCGTCGCTGTTTCGCGCGTGCTGTCGTGCCATCGTTCCGCGCACGGCTCACCGCCTCCACCGCCTCTCTGTGCCAATTACATTATTATTATTGTTGTATACTGGCCGAACGTGTAGTGCAGTGAGCGCGATTGTGTGTAATTGATTCTTATAATCTGTCCCAGTCAGTAGTTCCGCGTGCGAGTGTGTGCTTGTGTGCCGCCCACTTAGTGATTGAATATTTGATTAATTAATCGGTACTGATTGGATAATTAAACGTCGAATATTTTATTGAAACTAGTGTTGGACTTTTTTTTTTTTTTTTGACAAAAAAGACAATATTTTTTTGTTTCAAGTGTTGATTTTTTTTTTTTGTTGTGTATTTCGTACGCACACTTTTTAATTAAATCGTTTGTGGTCCGCTGAACGTGGTGCAGTACCTATCAATTGAAAGCGCATACATGGTGCCAGGCACCCGTCATATTATTGGATTACTTGTATTGGAACATCGTCCTAATATTATTATCGGTAAGTTTCCGGATTGGTTTTTGATCAAACTTTTTTTTTCACTTCATTTATTTTTTTTTTGTCTTAAAATGTTAAAAAAAAAAAATTACTCTGTGATTTTCTACGCGTAATAAATGTGTGCTCGCAGTAATAAAACTCAAATTTTTTTTTTTTATCTCATTTATGATTTTGCGCGAACCGTCCTCCGTGTCAATTAATGTTGTGCGTCAAATATGTAAATAATACAAGCCAGTAATTATATTGCGGTGACATTTACACACATTTATTTTTATTGTGTTTTTTATTTTTTATTGACTACGGAGAATAAGGAAAGTGTGCGTTAGGTGGGAGGGTACGGTTCGGCGATCGCGTGTGGCGAATTTCACCGCAGCGATAGCGGCCTAGTGAGCGGCCTTGCCTGCGGAGTTAATATGTGCACCAGCCGCCGCGACGTTTATTAAACCAAACAAACCGACGGGCCGCCGGCCGCCCCTCCAACGGTTTGACGTCTTCCGCGGTGTGGCCTACATTTCTGCGCGGTCCGTTTTTTACACTTAGCGACAGCGGATAAGCGTATCTTAGGCGTGCCAATGAAAAGTTCTGCATCCGTTTTTTCAAAGTCGTCACCGTTCAAGTGCATTTTACCAGATTGATATTTCTCGGCGGTTATTATTATTTTTTTTTTTAACTATTAGCAGTTACGTAGGAATCAAGAGGAAGACATTTGAAGGTTCCCTTCTCCTGCTTACTCAACGTTTTTTGACGCTTTCTCCCGATTTGCGCGTTTATATGTATTGTTTAAAAATGGAAACTGATTATTTATCATTATAACGCGTTTTCAACTTGTACTATACGATTTTGTTTTTAAAAACCTCGCAAATTCTCGGCCTTTCCAATTCGTAAACGTCTGATGATCCGTAATGATGGGAGAAGGGAGAACATTTTTTTCTTAAATGTAGGTCAATGTCGCGGGGGCGATACCAAAGTGGTCGCAAGTGCCCAATGTTTCATAGTTTCGTTTTGTATTGCTTAATTTTCTTATCCTTCCTTTTCGACGATTCAGCTCGACGCTATTTGTATGGAAAATCGAGAGAAAGTGAGACCAGTTTGTTTAGCGTGTTGCCGAAAGTGGTAATGTATTTTGGTGTTTTTTTTAATGCGCGGCCTTGTCGATCGCGTCCTTATTATTATCAAACAGTTCACCTTGAGAATCGCATCGATAATTAGCAAAGATTTTCCGGTTGTGTTTTGTTTTCGGACCGTTTAAAGTTTGGGAAACGCCTAGAAAATTCCACAGCAGTTTTCCCAATACGACTTCATATAGAGTTCATATTAATGTTCTCGTTTTTAGACGTGCCAATAAATGATAATGTATTGGCCTAATGGTGTAAAGCATCGGTAGCTGTCGCCGCGCTGCTGTTCGGTATGGTCAAGGACAGACGACCCGTTGTAAGCGTTTTACACGAATCTCGGCGACGTTTTTTTTTTTTTTTTTTATTACTATTGAAAAGTTTACGGCGCGTATGCGAATGGTCTGCCGGCCTTGTGTTTTGCGTACAACCTCAAACGCAAGTGATGACGACACGCTATGACCTCCCAACCGATATTTGCGCGTTAATTTTGACTTGTATTTTAATTTTTATTGAAAACAAACATTTTTTTTTACACATTGTCAACAAGACCAAACGGTTTATTTGCTCATAGTGAATTTATCGACGCGATACTTCTTTCAATTATTTGCCTTAATGAAAATATATACATTTCATTTATACTAGTCGGAAGTACAAAGACTTGTTCCCTTTTTCCCACGTTTTGGGGTGGCCATAAACATCACCGCCATGGTCCTAATAAGGGTAACAACAATAATAACAACAGCAGCAGGCGACTACTGTGACTGCGCGTATTCTGTTATTTGCATTATTTGTCCCGCGTTCAGCAACCCGTTTACAATGACAATTAAAGCCTCCCATCGCGTGCGTTGTTAATTAAAAACGTAGGGCTGTCCTTGTCTGTAATACTATGTTAGCATATGGACGAATTTATTGTTAGCGATAAGGTTGGGACGTGTTGAACGCATACTTTCGGGACCAAGGCGGTGTACTCGATTTCTTCTGAGCTTTTCGAAATTTCTTCAATACGACCTACTAGTTTCAATTCTTATTTGTCGGAAAGGTAACACGAGAAACTCGGTACCACGTGATTTTATAGCTCGACGGGAGGTCATTCGTAAGATATTCGGGAAAATTTCTCAATTAAAAATGCCTATTGTTTTATTATTTTTAATGTAACTATTAGTACTGACCTGTGTATTTTTTTTTTTTTATTTCAGAATGATATGCTAATTGTACAACATCGACTACGGTTGTTGAAATGAGACCTGTCGAGTCAAGTGAAAACATTACCATTATGGATGAAATCGATGAGCTTTTGGGCACTCGGAGAAGTTATGGATGGAACTCCGGTTCTAGGCCGTCCATGATAAGCGCCAAGTACCGCATGAAAGAAGAAAGGCGAAAGGTGCTCAAGATATCGGTCAACAAGATGAAAAAGATCGACGATGCCGAAAGCTCGTTGTGCCGGTCCGTGTTGATCAATAATACGGTTAAACGGTTACAGGCGGAAACTAGAGACGACCGAACGGCCGGCCGAACGTCGCCCGCTTCGCCTCCATCTCCCACCTCCTACGGTTACCATTCGCCACAGCAACAACCCTGTGGTAACGTTAATATCAACAACAACAACAACAACAACAACCCGCAACTGGTGGACATCACTAACTTGCGGGAATCACCTGTTGGCGGCAAGATAAACGCCACCAACAAACCCGACACCGTCTTGGACGTTACGTCTACGACGACCACCTCGTCTACCGGTTTGTCGTACGATTACGACGACGATACCATCACGTCCATTATGATGCAGTTACCGTCGGCCGCCGCCTCGTCGCAAACGCCCAAACGGAAACGGTCCGTAGACGAACCGTTAGACGATCTATTGTCGCAGTTTATCAATAGTAACCAACGCGAAGACGAAGACGTCAACGTGGTCGATCTAGACCTCCACGAATTTCCGGCCGCCAAGAGACTGAGAACGGACGAAGCTGCAGCCGCAGCCGCGTCCAACGTCAACACCTCCGCCGATCTGTGCACGCCCGACTGGCTCATGGAAACGTGTTGCGATTCCCTCGACCTGTACGGCGGCCAAGTGCCGGCAGCTGTCGAGCATCAAGACGTTTTGTTACCAGCTGCAGTGGTTACAGCAGCCGCTGCGGCCGCGGCTGCAGCGGCAGCCAGCAACAGTAGTCAGTGTTCGGTGGATTGCGGTCAGACGTCACCCGAACCAGACACCGAAGACCATTTTGGTGGAAGCGGGTCGACGTCGCCCACCAATCTGTCCTGTGGACAAGCCTCCATGTTCAGCGAAATGCAGTCCGCCATGTTTCGCAACCTGATTGCGTCCCTGGAATCATAGGACCCAATGGTGGAAAATTTTTAAAAGAATACTATTTTTTTTTTTGTTTTGTTTTTACTCACTTAATCTCCTATTGCGACTTTTTCTTTACGATTTTTTTTTTTTATTCGTTAAATACCATACCCAGTGTATGATTCATATTATGTAACTAAATCTAAAAAAACAGTTTAAAAAACGTGCAATAAATGGCCAATTCGCGTAAAAACACCTTTGTTTTTCGTTCTCTCTGTGCACTTATTTATACTATCATTATTGCAGTATGGTTTTTTTTTTTTTTTTTTTTAATTTTTCATCGTAAAGTTGTAAATATTTGTAAACATGTATGTTATATTTTATGTAACTGTAGATAATCAAACAAGGGCTGTGTTAAATTCATCCAATCGGTCTCTCTTTTTGTTTTTTAATTTTTAAAATAAAGGGGAAAAAGAGAGCATTTAAATGTAAATGAATAACATTATGTATAGTAATTATTATTAAACCAACATAGACAATATTTTGAAGTAGAGAATTTTATTTAGCAAAAGAACCGATTGGTAGGCTATAATTATTACTGTGTCTGCTATTGGTAGTGATAGTACAAAAATAAAAAAATCGTGTTTTTATTTTCTCTTAACGATTATTCACCTTTTATTCTACTCTGGAGCTAATTAAAGGAGGGGAAATTTTGTGTAATTCTTAACTCGTAGAAAATACATTTTCCTATTAGTATAACCACAAAATTAATTTGTTTAAAATTAACTTACTTTCTCGTTAAAATGAATTTACGCTGCTAGTAGATATTTTTAATTTAGTGCGATTTTTTTTTTATGCTAAGGACAGTCTTCCGGACTTTATTTGACGGTGTGATATTTACTAGCGATTATTAGTATATATATATATATATATTTAAAATAAAAAAAAAAACATAATATTGTATTATTATAAGCGCATGGGCCGGTCTTAAACTTTGCTCCGACAATATTAAGACGGCTAATTGTATTAGATTTTTTAAATTATAAAAAAGAAGCGTACCTTCTACATAGGCAGTGCGAGTGGAAAATATATGTCTTTCATAATTGTAATTTCATTTGGTTTGAATAATTAACGTTACTTAAGCAAAAATTGTATTCCCTCCTTAGAAAATCACAAGAACACGTCGTATACATTATTTTAAGCTCCATTATTCATGTCTTCCTTTTTATTTATATTATTACTATGTTTTAATTTTAATTTACTCTTAATTTTTATTTTTTTTGTTAACATCGATGAAGTTTTCATGAATAATAAATTGTTACCCAGGTGATACAACAATTGTAGAAGGATACGTATATATATATATATAATATAATAACGAAAATTATATATTTTATTAATATTATGAAAAAAATATTATATTGTATTTTTTTTAGAGCTTTATTATACTGATGATTTATGTGACAAAGAAAAGAAAACATATTCGCCAATAGAAGTTGTTTTTGATTGAATATTGTTTTTTTATGTATAAAATATTGAAAATGATATAATACATTTTGTTATTCCTTTGAAACGCTGTGTATTTTTTATGCGATTCGTTCGCTAAATAGTCTTGTGTGTGTGACCACAGGTTATCCTCAGACCTATTTATTTAAGTGTATTCATCATGAAACTAAACGTTCAGATGAAAACTGTTTCACGCTGTCCGTGTACGGCTGCGGTACAGTTTTTGCCGTTTTCAGTCCACAGCGATCTGTTGGACCGTGACGACTGCGTCGGATACAACGTAACGGATCTCGACGGAGAAATCGAGTTTTCCTAGCGAATTTTCCCAACTGACGAAATGCATTAATAGTGGAAATCGTTTAAGACTTAAAATCTCAACGATTGTCGATTTTTCGGTTCACCAATGTTGTGTTCATTGGCTTTTTCAAAGAGGTCAACGAGTCCACGCAAAACGTCTGTTGTCGGTAGTTGCCCTTGCGCACCCTGACAACTCTAAAACGTCATCTTGAAACTTTAATCAACTTGCGGTTTCACATCGAGATACACCTTTTAACTGGTACTTACGTTGGTATGTGCGTGGGCGCCGTTGGATTTTTTTTTTTCTGTTAATTAATGATAAATGTTTTGCGAAACAAAACTGCGTCAGTATTTAGAGGGTCGCGTTTTTATTGACAAAGCGCTATAGTTAAAACGGCCAACACGACTTTAGGGTTTTGTATTTTGATTCAAGACGGTAAAGACAACGTGGTGTCAACCAGTACGTCTTAAAAACTAATGATATCGTTCGATTTAAAATATTACTAGGAGTTTGTGAGGAAATATCGAGTTGTGAATAACTGTCGATATGATTATTGCACGTTTGGATTTCATTCATCAAAAAATTAAAATTATTTCGACTGCCTAACATTATAATAACGTTGACTTAATTTGATAGCATAAATATCAGGTATTACCTGATATAAATTAATTATTGTTCAGAAATGTATACGGAGTGTTCAGTAAGTGAGTTTTTACAAACAATGAGAACAATAAAAACCCTTTTTCTTATTTACTGAACACCCTGTATATATATAATAGCAACTGTGTATATAAAAGCTTCCAAACAATCATAATAGGTACCGTATAAAGTACATACAGTTCAATTAGAGTTTTTCTACTTTACTGTAATCATTGATAATAAATTTCAAATTGCTTTTGTTGACATCTATAGAACTACTTTAGCTATAATAAAATATTCTAATACATCAAATACATTTCAGTAGAAGATTATTTATAAAATGCACAATTGTATTTCTTAGATAGTTTGAACCAGTAAATATGTGCATGTCCATTTTTAGGGGTTGCAGAGTTTAAAGTGTACAGAATGTCTTACCAGGTTTTGACATTTTTCTAAACTTTTGACCGAGCAAATATTTTGCGTTATTATATCATTTTATCGTTGTGTATTACGTTAAAATCATATTTTTTATTATTTATCTCTAATAAATATAACCAGTTTTTAGTTTTTACTTATAAAAAATGGCTCGATAACAATTCTATGACAAGTGCTCGTCGAGTTACAAGCGCGAGCGAAGTATGCATTATAAATACACACTAATAAATACAAGTTGTATTCACTCACACCATTTATAATAATGCTTGTAACTTAATAAGTAATTATCGTAAATCGATTGTTATTGACCGCAAGAAAAGAGCTGAAAACTGGTTATTTTCAAATTAGAAAAATGTTAAATGTATATTTTTTTTATTAGAGAAATAATATATTTGTATTTAACGTAGATCAAAACTGTAAAAATTATTTTTAAAAAATTCAACGCAAAATATTCCAGGGAGTGATTAAACTTGGTGTTGATGACATTTTCTTTACTAATCGTTTATCTCTAGTAAGTATAGTAGAAATATACGATAAATGTTATTACAGGCTTATCATTTTAAATAACACGCAAATGATATATCGATATTTGACGATCACGAATGATTTGATACGATAATCTTGGTTTATCATGATATTGTAAGTTATATGAAAAATATTTCAACTTGAATTTTTTCTTGTGATTGGTCAAAGAAACACCTTAACAAATAAAAAATATCATTAATGGCATAAAGCATTTTTTTTTAATCGCTATTCTAGTCCATTAAAGACCATAGCGACCTCCCCGAAGGAGGAGGTTTCTTAGCCGTTGATACTCCAGGACGGGGGTTAGTTGGAGGGATGGCGATTCCAAATATCAAACTGATCTGTCGATTGGCAAATGATGCCGCCCGTGACCGAGTTTCGAACCCGAGACAGTGCGCATTAAGCACTACCGTATTACCTACTGGGCCTCTCTACAAACATAAAAACAAGCTCCGAGAAATTTGGATTGCTGTATGTTCAGGTAGTCGCTCTCTTTACAATAAGTCCCTGAAATATTAAACATTATTAAAATGCCAAAACCTTGTGGGACATTCTGTATAACAAATACCTAAGTGCGATTTAATAAAAATTGGTAAAAATAAATAAACTCGAGAGCAAAATATTATTTTTCAACCGATTTGAACGTTTATGAGAAGTTATTTAAAATATATTTTCGGTAAACTATTAAAAACAAAAATTTGTTTATACAGTGATAATTATTCCTTCGATGCATCACAAACCAAATTTGCTACGTACCATTTTAATTTAAACTTTCGCACGACAAACAATAGTTTAAGTATTCACTACCCAACAATTTTTGTTTTAAAAAACTTCTTATAGAAAGCGTAATTCATTGTTTAACATGTTGTTAATTATTAGACAATTTTCAAAGATGTGTTACTATAGTAACCAAAAACGAAAAAAATCATATAATCGATTAAAAGCTGATGATTTAAAATACACCAACTGAGTTCTACATTAAAATTCCAATGAAAGTTATGTAAAAATTAATATTATAGATAAATAAATATTAAATGAATACTATGTGTACGAGGATTTTTGTATTTTTAGAAAGTCAATTGACTTCAAAAATAATTTTTCACTACATGAAAAATGATAATTTGTGTTATTAGTACACTACCCATGAGTTATTCTTTTATTTCGCACCGTCATAGAGATGCACTGATAAAACTTGGCAGTATTATGTAATCAATTTTTACTATATAGCAAAAATAACATACTACACAGGAAAACAAAATCCTCAATACGCCATTGAGTATGTTTTTTGTTTTAGCCTGTTTCATAGTAGTCTTAGAATTTTTTCTTCTACGATAGATAATCAGTCAATAGAAGTACAATAATATTGTTGTAACTTGTTTTTAACCGTTTTGTTTACATGTACTCTATTAGCACAACGCCATTCATCCGTAAACAAATTACGCTTAGCACGTACCAAATAGTATATATTTTTTTCTCTTTTTGCAATAAAAAATTTTACTGCTTTGCCTGCGCGAGAAAAACATTTTCATCTTAAATGATATGAAAAGTTTACTTGCAATTTGAAAACATGTCGGTATTTGTCTAACACTTTGACTTTCAAGTTACTTTGTTGCACTGATATGTGAATTGTTGCGGTGTAACATTTTTCGTGTCATTAACTTATTTCCGAAGGTGGTTATGAAATGGTGGAATTGTTGGCTGTAATGTTTTTTTTTACCAGATGACAGCGTACGCCCACTGCTTGTATACCTTCTATTTGAACGCTGATAAAATGAATTACGAATGCGATTCTAATCGCTCTCTGTTTTGGTGATGACTGATGGCAAAGTGCTCTGTAGAAAACGTATATGGGTCAGACACTTCACGATACACACATTTTTTATCTGGTCGGTTTACATGGTTTTCATAAGACAATAAATATGAATAACACTTTCTGCATTCGACTGTGTCCAAGCAATAACTCTTCTTTGTTAGGACCGAGATGCTCGCGGTGCAAGCGATTCAAATAAGTATTTGTCCGATTTTGTTTGAAACGTTTCTTATTTCAGTATTAATTTGCGTGCAAATAAATTGGACACGCCGCCATCGTTGAGAAAACGGTAAAAATAATTATAAATTCATCGGTAGCAACGGGCAATCGTCTTGCGCCTATACTTCCACGCTGCAATCAGCTTTTGGCGGTCAGTGTATTCATTATTGGGACGTTAAGAGTCCTGTATTTTCCCATTATGTATGAGTTAAACGAAACTACAATGGGAGATCCAGGGAGGGGTGCTGGGCCGTGCGTCCCCTCCTTGATCTATTGTTGCCGACTTGGAGAAAATATTTAGAACGATAAATTTAACAGCAGATTGATTTTGACGTCTAAACATTTTTTCCCTCTCCCCCTCAAAAAATTCTGAATCCTCCCTCGCGAAACAATTTTATGCTATCATAAAGTTGAGTTTAATTTAAACATGTTGTAATTTTCAAGATGACCCAGATTGATTAAGTTAATTTTTCAAGTTGTCCTGTGTATGATTTGTATATATTTTTATGAAGTAGCACAACGTTTCTTTGTCATGAAAATGTTTTCAAAAATTTAACTGAAGTGTGTACAATATTAGTTAAGATGTTTCCTATGTGTAATCAAAGAAAAATTGTTAAAATAATTACCATAGATTTATAAATGGATAAGACTGTCACAGGAACAAAAAAAAAAAAATCAATTCCTATATGCGTTATAACCTTACAGTACTTGTAAGGTGTAGTTGAAATTTAAATGGAGACTATACACAAAAATTGTATTGGATAAACTGAACATTTTTGATGACCTTTTAAATCATAATCAAATCGTGAGTAACAAATGTCTCAGATATAAAAATTTTATGGTACCATAACATTGTTATTGGCAATTTGTTAATAGGAAAGACGCGTATTCCGTTTACCTCCCTCTAATTACGCCACTATTACTGACATGGAAAATATTGTAATTTTATTTATTGTTAAAAACAGCTAATTTTCATTACTATGGAGGGAAAGCAAAGGAAAAAATTTCTCTCCTGAGTTGTTGATCATAATATAATAAAAAAATACTCATCAAAGTCTATGTGTGAAAACTAGAGGATTTTCCAATGTTCTTGTCACAATTCTACTCATCGTTTTTTTTTTTTTTTTTTTAAAGATTTCAATTATTTAAAAAGTATATTCATAAATAGAGGTTTAATCTCTCTTAAAAATTCTAAAAAACTATATGCATGTTTAAAATAAAAAAAAACAGCACAGTAATGCACAATGGGGTCGCGGCATAGTTGGGATATAGATAGATGAGATGATCTTTATAGCATCATTTTTATAAAAAAACGTTTCTACACGAATCTAATAAAATTATATTTTATAATCATTTGTATATTTGTAATTTCAAAATTTTAAAATGTCTCTACTATATTAAATGCTTGTTAAATTATAATATAATTAAACATTGAAAACATGTTTTTACTTTGACGGCCAATTTCTCTAAGTAGAACAATTGTGGAAATTTTTTTTATAATATTATAGTTCACATGAAATTTTTAAATTTGATGCAGGTTGTTAGACGTCTGAATCATTTTCAAAAATTGAATTAAAAATAATTTTTTGGCATTCGTGAGTAGTCTTCTTTAAACTCTTTCTGTACTTAAGTCTTTCACTGTATTTTCATACAAAATATACTAAAAGAAAAAATATTTTCTGTAGTATACATTATTTAATAGTCATTAGGATCAATCAATTCTAGGAAATGTTATAGCAGTTTTAAAATACAGAAAAAAATTTGAAAATGCTATTATTTAAGGTATTATTCAAAAAAATATATAAAACTGAGTGAATTTTTTCTAATTTTCGGCTCTTTAACTAAATTCTATTGGGTTCTTTTGTTGCTTAAACCCACAAAATCGGTTCACTGATAGCTGAGAAATTTCATGCACAGACATAATAATACAAACACATAATTTAGCTTCCAATTTTTTTAGTTAATTTGTTGCATATGTTAGAAAGATTGAAAAATAGTTATTTGTTGATATTAAATAAATACTAAAAAATACAATTACATTCAAGTCCAGTAAAAAGTTAATATCTTTCTTCATATTTTTTGTTTTATGACCAAAGTTTTAAGCCCTTTGATTAATGGAAACGGGATACATTAGGTTGGGTGTCAATTTTGTTTAGATTAACTAAAAAATGTATACTATTAAAGACTGGCTTGTTAATTAATACTCATCATAAGTGGATGTTTACTGCATACTATAATTTCCGTATCTTTGACAGATTTACACCAAATTTTAAAATCCACTGTAAGTGTTATATTTCTAACAAAGACTGATTTTTTTAATTTGCCAAAAGTAATCACTTAATATATATTTGACATCAACTTAAACTTTTAAATTATGATGAATTATTAAATAAATCATATTAAAATACAAAATGAAATATTTTTTGAAGTGTTTGTTTTTAAGCTATAAATTTTAGAGGAAATAGTTATTAGTAAATAAATTCTAGTATAATATAATATAAACAAAAAACATTGAAACTAAGAATTGGTAATAACATATTATTCTTACTAGTTAAGTATGTTTTCAGTATTCCTAATACGTAAAAACAACCATTTAAAATAATAAATATGTTTTCAATACTTTTATTGTTATATTATAAATGATTGATATGATGATGACACTCCATCTTTAATGAAAAAAAAGAAAAATAGATAATAATAATAAATCAATAAATCAAAAAGTAAAATTAATTTTGAAAATATTTCAAATAATGTGTATTGTATGAACTAATTAAAAAAATGATACATTCCTAAAAAAATCAAGTTTTATTTATTGAAAAAAACTTTATCACTTCCTTATTGTTTTTACTGTTGTTATTACTAAAGAAAGGGATCGAGTGGTTATTGAATCTTAAAACTCTGATAACAAAATTGACTTTTTGAAACCCATTTAAATAAAATTTAAGTGGATAGCTTTATTATTTAATATAAAGAAATTTTTTCTCTCTATTTCGCAATTTTATTTTTATGAATTACATTTGTTTAACTAATTAATTAAACTTGAAGTCAAGTGTTTCTCAAATATTAAACTTTTTACTATCTTATTATTTTACATAGCTTTTATCATAACGGTTTTTGTATAAATTGAACTACAACAGTCAGAACAGTGATTGTATTGAAGAACCTGAGTTAGCGCATTTATTAAACTTTTTGAAATCATGACACTTTCAAACGGCATTTTGTTGGTCTTTTCATTGATTTTAGGTAAGTTAAATATTTGTTTTGTCGAGTAAAATATATATGCTTTTGTGTTACGTTATATAATCTGTTTGTTCTCGTTAAACGACTACATCAAAACGGCCAGCGTGGCGCCTATGCGATAGGAATTTATCACATCTATTTATAAAAAATCATTGAAGTAAAAAAAAAAAATGCATAAGTTATTCTGTAGTAAAGCTAAAACAAGACAGTTGATGATGGGCATTTTAAGTTGTTGACTACCATTTGAATAACTTTCCCGTAATTTGACGATATTTTATCACTTGAATTTTTGTCCAAGTTCCGATTTGGAAAATTCCCTTGCACTAGCAATGGCATCTCTGAATTTCGCGCAGATACTATTATAGAAGCTTAATATTTATAGGATTGCAGCAAATGTTTTAGTTTTTGACTGATGCAGTTTACATCATTAAATCAGTAACAAATGTATTCTTGATCTGGTTATACTTGTGAGATTTATGCAATTTTGAATGAAGTCCAATATTTATAATAATATATGACGTGTAAATACCACACACGAGTCCTTCCACCGCGAAACTTGTATCGGCTGCTGAACAGCGTTAAAAATAGGCGCGATAGTTGCCGCAAATGTATCGACAATGTATAATATTGATTTAACGTAGCTAGTTTTAACTTGCAATTAATTTATGGTAAATAATTATTATTTTATTTTTTATTTATCTGGTATATACTTTTTCTATGTAGTACAAACAATACCTATATTCTTAGTTATCACCCAAATGATTACAAGACACTCTTGAACAATATAAGACATTATAAATGTCCTACCTTATTATTAAATATATTTATATTTTCCACATTTTTTACAAGAAATGATGTTGCATTTTATTAATTTTGTTGAAAAAAATTTATATTCTTAAGTATTTACTATTTCAACTTGTTTTTAAATTTATTTTACGTTTAATTTTCATGTTTAGGATCATGTTTAGCATTAAATAACAACACTTACAGTGGATTGTTGGCGTCATTATCTGAGCATGAAAATATTGATAGTAGCGAAAACAACTTTGAAATTGACACATCTTCTAACATACAAATAGAAAGAGAAGTTTTTTTTTGGTTGTACACCAGGTGAGAGAAAAATTATGATTTTGGTAAATTATAAAACATACAAACAACGCCATCTATCGGACGCTGTTTAAAATAAAAACGCATTTGGTTTTGTACAGAGAGCAGAACATGGCACAGAAATTAATTCCAGGTGTCTACAGCACACTATTAGAATCATCATTTAATGCAGAAAATCCCACTAAAATAGTTATTCACGGGTGGCTAGGTGATCCAGATAAAATCGAAAAGGACTGCCAAATATTAAAAAATGGTTAGTAATTAATTAAAAGCAAAGAAAGGAAAACCACCAAGTAGTAGTTGGTAATGAATTATATTTTATCGATTGGTGTCCTCAACAAATTTTATATAAATCAGTATATTTAAAACAATTATATTTGCAAAATTGTAGAATATTTGATATTTGGAAACTACAATGTGATTTGTGTGGATTGGCGTAAAATATCTCATGACATAACTTATGTGGGTGCAAGAATAAGATGCAAACAAATTGGTTATTACTTAGCTCAGCTTGTTGAAATGTTGCGAGATGTGACATCGCAATCTTTTGAAAAAATTCACATTCTTGGGTTCAGCATGGGTGCACATATTGCTGGATATGCTGGAAAAAAACTCAATTCTCGAATCGGACGAATAACTGGTAATATATAAATTCAAGTATAAAACATATTATTTATATTGATTCCATTTATAATCAAGAAAATATTTTTAATTTTCGGTCTCCGTCCTTTAAATTTTGTTCAACATTTTTTTGCCGTTTCTATAGATTAAATTATGTTATATAAAAAAAAAATATTTGATTGATCAGTTTCAAAGTAATGGCGTTGCATATCCAATATAGGATATTAGCAAGGTATTTTTTAAAATATAAATTTTATAAAATGAACTTTGAAAGATTTGTGTTTCACTGTTATATTTTCATTTTAAATTACGTGGCAGAACTTTTTTCAAGCTTAAAGTTTTATAATCTTTGAACTTTTATAAAGAAAAAACAACAATATTTAAAATATCAAAGAAAAAAAAGCATTAAACTAAATTGGATGTTAGAATCAAATATACAAAGTTTCAGTTGTTGTCTGCAATATTAAAGAAGATGAAATGGTTATTCAATGATAATTTAATTAAACAACTAAAATATAACTTTTGAGACAATATTGTAATTTTGATCATATCATAAAATTATGCTGCTGAAATTAGGAGTTTAAAAATATTTATTTTCAATTAAGTAAATAAATTAACATACATTTAATATTGGAGTGAAATTAAAAAAATAGAAAATGTGAAATTTAACAAATTTGCTTTGAAACCAATATTTTATGATAATGAAGATAATTTTAGATATCATATATACTAGTTTCACATCTAAATAGTGACCCCACTGTGCTGGTTTATGTCTTGAGGGGCTAAACAATTTTTTAAGGTATTCAACATTTTTTTTTTTTTATCACAAAAAAATGACATTCAACAATATACAACCTAGTTTCGTAAAATATTTATTTTATTTATTTTTTCCAAATAATAAATGATAATTATTAGAAGTGAAAAGTAAAAATAAAAAAGGTTTAAAGTTTTAAAAATGTTTACCCTATTAAATATTTTTTTTTACTTTAGCGCTACTTTTAGATACAATTTGTGATATTTTGATCACAAAAGATTTTGTTGAACAAAATAGATCCAATAAGAGCTGAGAAACAATGATGTACAATACAGTAAAAAAATACATTTTATGATTATTATTGAATCTAAAAGTTTTGACATGATAAAGTGTTTTGAAGATTTTATGAAAGTAGAATATTGACCTACAAAAGTAGGCATATAATTCTAATTTTGAAAGAATAATTAACAAAATTTTATATATCCATGAAATACAATTGCATATGTAATCTTATTTTTTTAATTACTTAAAAACTAATGCATATAGTGAGTTTTTCTAATATTATATTAAAGAATTATTCTTTTTTATAAAATAAACTTTTAGACCCCAAATTCCTAATAAGTGAAGCTACCTTTTTTTTTTTTACATAAAATCCTTTATTTCTATTTAAGAAAAAAAACTATTTGATAAATCTTTGTTAAAACAGCATACTATTTTATTTTATTTCTTAGATATTCTCTATATTTATTTTTAAAACGTTTGGTGCTTGATTATAATTGTTACTTATTGCTTAATTACATAATAAATATAGTTAAAACGAGTATTATCATCAATAATATTTTATGTTTTCGAACATATACTCTCTATTAATTGTCATTCAAACACATAACTTCAAACTATTGGTGCAAATATAAATTCATTATAGTAATTGAGTGGTTTACTATAGACTGTATATGTCTTAAATGATAAACTAAAAAGTTCTAGAACTTACATTAATATATTAAGGTAATTGTTAAAAATCAATCATTAAAAATATTTTGGTTGTATTGTATAATTCAGGATTAGATCCAGCCAAGCCCTTATTCTTTACTAAGTGGCCAAATCATAGACTCAGTGAAGATGATGCAATGTTTGTAGATGTGATACATTCGTCTGATTTGTTCTTAGGACTTCTAGAATCTATTGGCAATGTTGATTTCTTTCCAAATGGTGGACACGCTAGACAACCGGGCTGTGCTTACAACGACTACTGTAATTAAAATAGTAAGCTAAATAGAAGGAGTTTGTAAGGGCTATATCTACCCAAAACTTAATAAAGCCTACCGATAAATTTTCAAATAAATTATAAGTATTGTTATATTAAAATATATTTCATGAGATGGAGGTTCAGTAGTGGTATTATCACTCTAAATTTTGTATAAACTCCGTCTGTGATTAATAGTTGATGTAATGACCTATTATCATATAATCAAAATTTAATTACAGTTAATGGTGGAATTTGCAGTCATTCACAAGCATATAAATATTTTGCGAAGTCTATACGATCAAAAGAAAATTTCATTGCCACCAAGTGTCTAAAATGGGATAATTTTTTGAAGTCCAATTGCCAAAAATACGAGGATCATAACTTACTTGTTTATATGGGCGAACATTTAAATACGACGTAAAATATTTTAATTATTTCATTATACTTTTTCTAAAATTAGGAACAAGTATACAATGTGAATACTAACTCTTATTTTTTGTTAATTTAATTCATAAAAATGTACGGCAATAATTTTATTCACTTTTATGAACCACATTAATTATTAAGTTAATTGTTTTTTAGAGTAGATTTTAGGGGTAATTTTTGAAAGATATAATTGGAACTTAAAATTATTTTTTTAATATTAAATTAAATTGTCCTGGTTGTATATCAGTTTTATTTTATTAATTTTGTAAATATTAGCAATTAAAGATTTAAAAATGGTGAAGAGCGTAGAAGTGTTTAGTGATGTTCTATTTTTACTATAATGCACATAATGGTAGTGCACTATAGATTTCTTCTATAGTGCACTAATCTCTCGTCTACAACTAAAATGATATTTTTATTTTTATCACACAAAAAGTAATATCACTATATTTTTAACTATAATACTTCATTTTCAGTATTTAATTTATGTGTTTTTTTTTTAATATGTTTTTATTTTGATAATAACTTTGGTTATTTTTGTAAAATAGTTAATACAATGTCAGTGTATTAATTATTAAATATTAGATTATTTATTTTATTTGGTTGATGACTAAATGTATATGCCATTTTTATAACAATGTATTTAATAAATGTAATGCAATTAGGTATTTTTGAATAACACTGAACTTTTGAAATTATCATTCAAGAATTAAATTTTACAAAACTATAGGGAATCCACAATTTTACTATTTTTTTTTTTAATATTACAATTAAATAAAAAAAAAAAATTATTAATAAAATATGTTCTCTTAAGTGTTTCAGGAAATTATTATTTGAAGATTGAAGAATAATTTTTTGACGAAAATGACGTCGATAAATTTATAAAATTATTTCCTTAGATTGTATCAACTTACACACTAAAATAAAAAAAATAGTCATAAAAATAAATAATCTAAAAATATTATGGGAATATTTTTATAATTTTTTTTTATTTAAATAAAATTATTATATTTTTGTATTTCTTTATAATTTGTTTTCCAATACAAATAAAAAATGTACATTAATTATCAAATTTATTCATCTAAAAAACATAATTTTTTAAAACTATCAGTCAAAAATCCCTCTTTTTCTGGTGCGACTCAATTATCAGACAGAGAGAAAACCGTGCTGTGTCCTATGATGCCAATATAACCCAAGGAGACCAAGTCGGATCGTCATTTTTTATTTTAATCATTGTAATTTATATGTGTGCCTTTGTTTTATAATTGTAATTTGAAGTAATGGAGACGCATAACATAAGACTGGAATTATAAATTATTACCGTCTCACTGTATGTAAAATTGTATTATTTAAAAAACATACTAATTATATGAATGGTAATCTTCTATCTCCTTTTTTTTATGATTTGAAATCGATCATTGAAATCCCTTGTTAGTGTTACTATTAGTTATACGAGCCAACCGTTTTAATTGGAGCCCGATGGCGAATATAAATTATTGATAGCAAACGTAAATGTATATAATAGAAATAAAGATTATTACATCAGAATATTAATTAGGACAATCGTTTTCGGCAGCATAGTTGGTTATATCAGTATAATCATTTCGAGTAGCTTCATAAATGGTTCCTTTACTCCATGGACAATTATTTTCATGAGCATATTTTAAGCAATTAAATTGACCATTTGCAGCAGCAAGTCTTGTTGTTCCTTCATTTCATTCACACCCATTAGCATTAACATATTTTAGGCAGTCTAAATGACCATTTGCAGCAGCTCCACTCGTTGTACCTGCATCCCATTTACAACCGTTTTTATGTGCAAATATCAAACAGTTAATATGACCACTAGCAGCAGCTTCTCTTGTAGTGCCTTCGTCCCACTCACAACCATTTTCATGGGCATACTTTAAGCAGTCTAAATGTCCATTTGCTGCAGCCCCTCTCATTTTACCTTCAACCCAATCACATCCATGTTGACGGGCATATTTTAAACAATTTAAATTACCATGCACAGCTGCTGCAACTATGGTATCTTTATGCCAATTACATCCTTTTCCATGAACATATACTAAACAGTCTAAACAGCTACTAGCAGCAGCAGCTCTAGTTGTACTATCATCCCAAACACATCCATTTACATGGGCATAAGTTAAACAGTTGAAACTTCCACTTTCTGCAGCAGCTCTAGTTGTGCGTTCATCCCACGGACACCCGTTTTCATGGGAATATTTCAAACATTCTAACTTACCATTAAAAGCAGCCGCTGTTGTCGTGAATTCATTCCAAGGGCATTGATTTTCATGAGCATACTTTAAACATTCTAATTTACCATTAGAAGCAGCCGCTATTGTCGTTTTTTCATTCCAAAGGCATGCATTTTCATGAGCATATTTTAAACACCTTAAATGTCCATTAGCAGCAGCCGCTATTGTTGTGATATCATCCAATGGACATCCATTTTCACGGGCATATTTTAAACATTCTAATTGGCCATTAGAGGCAGCTGCTTCTGTTGTAGAACCATCCCATGGACATCCGTTTTCATGGGAATATTTCAAACATTCTAACTTACCATTAAAAGCAGCCGCTGTTGTCGTGAATTCATTCCAAGGGCATTGATTTTCATGAGCATACTTTAAATATTCTAATTTACCATTAGAAGCAGCCGCTATTGTCGTTTTTTCATTCCAAAGGCATGCATTTTCATGAGCATATTTTAAACACCTTAAATGTCCATTAGCAGCAGCCGCTATTGTTGTGATATCATCCAATGGACATCCATTTTCACGGGCATATTTTAAACATTCTAATTGGCCATTAGAGGCAGCTGCTTCTGTTGTAGAACCATCCCATGGACATCCATTTTCATGGGCATATTTCAAACATTCTAACTTACCATTAAAAGCAGCCGCTGTTGTCGTGAATTCATTCCAAGGGCATTGATTTTCATGAGCATATTTTAAACATTCTAATTTACCGTTAGAGGCAGCTCCTTCTGTTGTATTTTCATTCCACAGACATCCATTTTCATGGGCATATTTTAAACATTCTAATTGACCGTTAGAAGCTGCTGCTTCTGTTGTGCTTTCATCCCATGGACATTCATTTTCATGGGCATATTTTAAACATTCTAATTGACCGTTATAAGCTGCTGCTTCTGTTGTGCTTTCATCCCATGGACATTCATTTTCATGGGCATATATTAAACATTCTAATTGAACGTTACAAGCCGCTGCTTCTGTTGTTCTTTTATCCCATGGACATTCATTTTCATGGGCATATTTTAAACATTCTAATTGACCGTTAGAAGCCGCTGCTTTTGTTGTGTCTTCATCCCACGGATATCTATTTTCATGGGCATATTTTAAAATGTGTAAATTACCTGTGTAGGCAGCTATAGTAGTTAGGATTTGATTAAATTGGCTTATATTTTTGTGAGCATATTTCCAAATGTCTAGGTTTCTATTTTTAATAGCAATCATCACAATTTTGAATTTATTCCATTTACAGCCATTTTCATAAGCATATTTTAAGCATTCTATTTGACCATACTTTGCAGCTGCTTCTGTTGTACTTTCATTCCACGGACATTTATTTTCATGAGCATATTTTAAAATGTTTAAATGACCTCCTACAGCAGCTGCAGTAGTTATGCGTTCATCCCATTTACAGCCTTGTTGATGGGCATATTTTAAACATTCTAATTTATCATTAGCAGCAGCTGCTTCTGTTGTCCTTTCATCCCATGGACATTCATTTTCATATGCATATTTTAAAATTTCCAAATTGCCTTTTGCAGCAGCCACAATAGTCGTATTTTCATCCCATTCACATCTATTTTCATGAGCATATTTTAAAAATTCCAAGTCATCATTTTCAGCAGATATTCTAGTTGTACCTTTTTCAAATTGGTATATTATATTGTCATTGGAAAATTTTAATGGAATCGCTAAATGAACGCATTTGTTTATTATTTATTATTTTATTAAAATTTTAATATTTTTAAATAAAATTTTGATAATCTATACAATTAATAAAATATATTTAGTAAAGAGTCATTAGAGTGGGATTATGATGTTTTATAAAAAAAATTGAACACTCAATTTAATTTTATATAAATAACTTGTTTATTGCATTTAAATAATAATTTTAGATAAATTATAGTAGTAATTTTAATTTTTTTTTAACTATTACATTAACTTGATACATTGTTTAATTTCGAGCGCGTCGCGGCGATTCTGCGTTGGAACGTACACTGGCGATTAATCTGTATCAGACCACCACCATCGACCAGTTTCATTTTTATCAGTAAATGTTATTACAATGCGCCGACAAAGAGAAAGTCAATACAATTGGAATTTTCATTTTTAATTTACTAAAAAATTAAAATTATGGCTTAAGGTGAAGCTTGAAATATGATCACTTTTATCCTTTAGCATACTTTAGTCATGTTCCAATTATGTCATAAATATAATTTTTGTGAGTATAAAAGTTAATCAATTTTAGAAAATAAGATATCATTGAAGTATTTGTGTAATATAAAAGTTTAAAAAACAAATAATAAATAAATACTTCTAATATAATATTATTTTAAATATGTGACTCTCTTAATTGAATAATTTATATTAATACAATTATTTTGTATTTTGGAGTATTCTAGACTTATACAGTATTCATAATTAGCAGTGTTCAAAAGATTACTTGAATACATTTTCAATTCGAATAAATATTATTCAGATAATTATAAATTATTTTAATATTTACGAAAAAGATTAGGTCTGATCCAAAAAACCGGTTTTGAGTCAGGAAAATTTTCAATATTTAGTTTTTTAACTAGAATAGAAATAATTCGGCACTATAGATGATGCCACCTAAATTTCCTGCGCCATTTTACTAAATGAAATCGATTTTTTTATAATTTCGCTCATATAACACTCTCATCCATATGCTAAGGGGGAGGTGGAAAAATTAATAGATTTAACAAAACATTTTTTAACGAACTATAGACGCTTAAGGCGTAGGGGGCTCAGGTTTTCAGTTTTTAACTGTGATTAATTAAAAAAAAGGCAGTACAGGGGGGTCGTGGCACAGTGGTGACGTGGTATAGTTGTATCAAGTATAATGCAATAATAAAAATAATTCAACTATTTCTTAAATTATATCCAGATTAGTAATTCTTAGATTCAAAAATATAATATAAAATTTTATATTATATAATTGTTTTCAAATTATTATTGATTTTGATTTTTAATATGTTAAGAGTAATAATTTTAAACCTTCTTTATTTCGTCCTT